GGGGGGGGAGAAAAAGGAGCTGATACCAAGGGCTCAAGTAGAAAATATTTTTGAAATGATGATGGCAGCATATGTACAAATACACTTGACACAATTGATGTATGCAATGTTATAAGAGCTGTGAGAGCCCCCAATAAAATGATTTTTTTTTAAACTTCCTGTGAATTTCTATAATACAGCCATGTTGGCTTTAATTTTTTTTTTAATGTTTTAAAGTTTTCTGTTAGACTTTCTAATGTTTTTCCCCCCCAGTTCTCTAAATAAAATTGAAAAGCCAAGCAGAAACCCCATGTTCTGTCTTGGACTTCTCATCCCCATCCCTTGGGTCCACGCCACCTGGTTTCCAAACCAGAGGCATGACGGTGCCCAAGAGGCTGTCTGCGGTCTGCATGGTCTTTGTGTTGGTCCATGATGGTCTGCATCAAGGGATCGAAGGAGCTGGGTAGCAGAGAAGAAACTACCGAGACTTTTCAGGACACGCTGGAGTCCTTTGGGGTTGATTTGAGAGAGAAAGGAAAACCCAGAATGTCTGGAAAAAGGGACGACAAAGTTTTGAATTTATAAAAGTTCCATTGTAGATATATAAGACCCATAATTATAGGCACCAGCAGCACCATCTGCATCTGGGTGGGGACATCCCAATCGCCAGTGTGGCTTGGGCTGCCAGCCAGCACTGCAGTTTTATTGACAACTCGTTAGAGCCCTTCTCCCCATCGAGCTTTCATGATAACGATTGGTGGAGAGCTCTGTTTGAGCCTCAGCTAAAAGGCCCGGCACCTGTACTTCCCGAGGTCATTAACTCCACTTATTATAATGCCATTCAGGTGAGACCCACAGCACTACAAAGAAGTCATAACCTTATAATAAAATCACATTTCCTTTGCCTCTTTCCAAGACAATTAAAGGGGATAAATAGGTGGGTCCTGGGGCAGGCATCACTGGGACATTCCAGAGGATGGATACAGGGCTAGGAGGAGCCATCAGTAGGAAGCTTCCATCTCCTGCCACCGGGACGGTGGAAAGACTATGTTTTAGACTGATGAGAACTCACTTAGGGAGAACAGCCCAGGCCTCCTGCTCCCCAACTCTTGCCAGTCTGCTTCCAAATGCTGATTTTGCAGCCAAGTCATTGGTTTCTCAAGCCTTCCTTGCTCCCTACCGTGAGAGCTGTGACCCTGAGCAGGGACGCAAGGTCAGCAGGCTTCCACAAGCTCTTTCTTTGCCCTTGTCTCCTAGCTGACCTAGCTGACCTGGTCTCGTGGAGGACTTAGTCAAAGGCGAATGCTGAGGGTCTAAGCACAAGGAGATTCAGAGACTGATTTGGCACAAAAAATCGAAGCTACCCTTGTGCCACCTTGCCGGAAAAGTCGAGAAATGGAAAAGAGGTGGAAGCAGGGAGAAACAGGAGCCTGGAGAGATCAGGAGACCAAGGAGGAAGCCGCAGAGCTATGAGGGGCCAAGCCAATCCGGTCAAACATGCCCATCGTCCAACGAGGGACCCTAAAGCCTCCAAAGCTGAGAAGTGACCAAAGTTTATGGACAGAAGAATGGCCCACCTATGAGTCTCTTTCAAGATGTACAGTGAGATGACTCATGCAAGACCTACCGGCACAGAGACCGCAGCCCCTGGGCTCTCTGAAGAAGAAATGACAGCACTCCGCGGTGCTCGGATCAGAAGTTCGTCGCCCCATCCAGTCTGAGGTGAGCCTGGTGGCTGAGACCCGCACTGTTGTCTACACTCAGGCAGAGGAACCTCGAAAAGGAGCAAGACTACTTGCAGCTGCGTGCGCAAGGAGAAAGGACAGGATCAAGGGTAGTCGGATCTGCACTGGCTTCCGATCCTGGCCGCCCAGCAGCCCACAGAAGTGGAGAAGAAGGGAGTCTTGCCGCTCGCCCCACGCTCCTGCCGACGCCTCTCCCTGCGGACAGAAAAACGGCAGCAGCGTTCTGGAAAGATACTGCAGACCAGCTGGCCGGTGAGTCCATGTACTGTTGGTAAATCTCGCCTCTTTCCTGCAGTGATTTCACACATCCATAGGCTTGTGGGAAGTTGCTTCTTGAATTAGTGAGAAAAATGGGACTCTGGGGACGTCAGAACTCTGTGCCTTCACAGAGGTCAGGGGTATGCTTCCTGTACCCTCTTGATTGCCTACTTGGGATATTTGTGAGTTTTATTCCTGCAAAGAGAAGTGAGTCATGATAGAAATCCCTTGCTCTTTTTAATTGAATTTCATTCAAAATACGTGTGTGGAGTAGCTTCCATTGCTCACTGGACAGAGCGTTGAATTAAAGCAGAAGCATCATAGTTCTAATGAAAATTGTCTCTTTGAGCCAACAGAAATAGGTGAGAAATAGCCAGGTGGGAAGGGAGGAAGGAGCCCTGGCAGCATAGTGGGCTATGTATTAGGCTGCTAACCACAAGGTCAGCAGTTCGGATCCACCATGAGAAAGATGAAACTTTCCACTCCCATAAAGATCGACAGCCACAAAAACCCAAAGGTGCAGCTTTAGTCTGCCTTGTGGCATTGCTGAGTCAGAACTGACTTGTTGGCAGTGGCTCTGGTTTGGGGATTTGTGTTTTGAGGGCTTAGTTTGTTCCTTTGTCTCTTGGCTTTAAGAAGTGAGATACTTAAGGGTGTGAGTTAGGTGCTGGGGACTGTGCTTGTACTCAACGTCATGCAGAAGCTGCACATATGACATGAAGAGCTAAAGTCATTTGTTGGACATCTGCCATCGACCTGGCACAGTCCCAGGGTGTGGAGGGATGGACATTAGGGAGATGATTTGTCCCTGCCTCTGGGAGTTTCCCAGTCCTGCCAAGCACACAGATCCACACCCAACTCTAACATATGTCATAGAGTTGGGCCCTCTCAAGCCCCGCCCTTCCAAATTTCTTCCCTGATAGCCCTCCCTGCTCCCTCCCCTACTCATGTCCCACGCTCCAAGGTCCTTTTAACTTCTTTAATGATCGTCGACCACTTGAGGACGTGATGTGGCCACGGAAGATGATTTGCAGGGTCTCAAGGGAGATTTATGTTTGCTCCACTCTCCAGGTGACTCATCGGTAGGCTCCAAAGAACTCTTCTCATTAAAAACAAATCCCTTTCGGAATCAGTTCTGCAGCCAAGCCTGGTAATTAGCTATTTTGATAGTTGGT